GATACTTCAAAAAGTTTACAGAAAAGTAAAATTAAAAGACAATACAAATCTTTCCATGAACCTTTTGAAGCACTCTTGTAAAAGGCACCCAAAGGACGAGGTAGACTTGTAAGACAGCCCTTTTTTAAAATTATTATTATCAAGGAAAATCCCTTGTTTATACCCCACGTCAGTCTCACTTTATACCACTATAATCAAATATAATTCGTTGATGTTCTAAATTAATTCCTCAAATTATGAAATTATCAAATTATGGATGAGACATATTTATTAAATTATGTCTCCCCCATAAGAACAAAATTGGGATAAACTACATTAACTCTGACTTTTAGACCCTCTCCTTCTTATCTTATTTTTAAGTTTTTGTAATCAAACTTAACTACACCAGAAAGCAACAAAGTAATGGAAAGACTGAATAAGATATGATAAACTGAAACTGTAGTCCAGATGGACTATGGCCTAGAAAGCCAAACCTTTTAGTTGGGCAAAAAAAATAAGAAATCCAATTGTTTCTTTGATTCCAAAAGGAAGAAACTTTATCAGGAGAAACTGGTAAACACAGCAGAGAATATCAACAGAACTAATAACTATCAATGAGTTACGGTGAATTTGGTGGGGAGAGGTTCATTTCCTGTTTTCTCTATTTGCAGCCCATCTCACCTTCCAACTCTTCATATACAAAATCACTTTTATGGCATTCAACACTAGTATTTGTCCTATAATGTCAGAGAAAAATCATTTTAGATTGGTGAATTATTTCTCAGCACAGAATGCTGCCTTATATTTCTGTACTTGCTTGCTTTTTTCCCTAAAACTGGACTTTTGCAGTATAATATGTGTTAATGGAGATATGAAAATGTATATTTTCTGTGACAGTTTTTCTAGAGAATGTTTGTTTCTTTAAAACTTTCAAAGTAATTCACTTTAACTTTCTAAGGGATACTGAAGAAAAATTATGTAAGGGAGTATTTTCTTTTCACACAGTCACCCAAAAGCATAAAAGCCTATTTGTTACTTCCATTTATGATTGTACAACTTTATATGAAATATTAATTTGTAGTAACTTATTGAAACACTGAAAATATTTTTAGTACAGCTCCAATTAGAACTCAATAAAATGCAAAATGTAGTGATTTTTATAATTTCTTATAATACCCCTTAATCCTTACAAAATATATATTACTTTAAATTAAAATCAGTAAATCAAGTAAAGGTCATCTAAGATTTGAACAGAGCCCACCAGTAGAAGCCATATCCTGAGATATCTCCTCTTCCTGACACAGGAGAGCTCAGGACCTATTGGATACATATGATTCTACCTAACTGACAGATTCTACCAAATGACAGAAATAGTTTTTCTATATCATTGTCCTTAATACTCTTTATTTACAATCAGTTACTAAAAAGGAAATAAAAGAGCAGATACAGAGGAAAAGGAGATAAGAGCAGATACAGAGGAAAAGGAGATAACACTGTTATTCCTTATTTCGTCATTATTTCTCACAAACACAGATAATTACAATATATTCTACTTCTTTACACAGGAATCCATAAACAGTGAGACCAAAATAAATTAAAATTCATAATGTAAGTAGAATAATAAAAGGAGAAAACAGAAAACTTACACTCTCGGGTATTGTTGGGAGTCCAGTTACATCCGGGGCAATGAAGTAGGAATGCTAATCAATACAAACAAATCACATAAGAAAAGGAGAATTAAAATTTGATTGCATTACACATATTTCAAGATAAAAATAAGAAAAAGTACATCAATTAAATTCATAAAAGACATTCAGGATTTGTTGACTTTGGGAGATCTTAAATGAGACAGCAGGTTTATATGAGATTTAACAATAACTTTCTCATACAAGGAGTTAAGTGTTGGTTAAAAATATTCCATTTTAATATGAAACAGAATTGAAATAAGAATCCTAGGGGAAATTTTAAGGCAGAAAAGAGTGCATTACCAAAAGTTTATGTGTGTGTGTGTATATATATGTTTTACATATATAATATAGATTATAAATATATTCTTAAAACGAATCCTAGGGGAAATTTTAAGGCAGAAAAGAGTGCATTACCAAAAGTTTATGTGTGTGTGTATATATATGTTTTACATATATAATATAGATTATAAATATATTCTTAAAACACACACACACACACATATATATATTCTAAAAGCACACTCAATTTTGGCAGACTGGAAAAATAAAGCTTGCTAACCCGAGTATATGCCAAAATCTATTAAGATTGTGAGTTTCTATGGCAAGTCACAACAAATCTGTTTTATAAACATCAGCCAATATATTATTTACAAAGCAACAATAAAACATAATTTTTGAATGTTTACAACTTCTGAAAAATAGTTATCCCAAAATATGACCGCCATAACCCACTAAACAAATATTAATTAGCTTCAGCAATGCTCAAAGCAGTACAATTCAATGAAATATTTTTATAAAAACATATTGTGTATATGCCTTCATGTTTCCCACAATGTTCCCAAATTTTACCACCCAGAATCAAAGAGCAACATAATCATCAAAAATGTACTATTTTCTGTTCATATAAATCTCCAAAATTATTTTAATACCTTAATCACATAAGGACATATTTAATACTGTCTTGTAATTAAAGATTGGCAAAGAAACATTCTAGCCAATATTTGAGCACAGCTGAACTAGTTGCAACAAGGCTAGTTAACACAGTCATAATGTATAACTTTCCAGGGTAGAAGAACAACAGGAGATAAATCACGATATTTCTTGAGCTCTTATGACAAAAAATGTGACCGAAATCTCATGCTGTGAATGCACTTAAAATTATTACTACTGAAAATGGACAATATACATAGATTTGGTCTCTATCAGCTAATTTTCTTTGGAAGGGTTTTTAACAGTACTGTATTTTCATAAAACTATGCTTTAAAAGCTAGTATAAACAGAAAATATACTCCAAATGATTAATTATCTTAAAAGAGTCAAAGTTACCATTTCCCAAAAGACTGGAGTGAATCTTAAAGACATAGTAAAAGAAGTAATTATTGTCCCAATTGAAGAGTGATTTTGAGAAGCCAATGTCCTTTTAACTCACCGGTACTAGAGAGGGCCGATCTTTCAGAAATTGCTCACTGGCAATAAATATCTCTTGGTTCTTATAATACTTGAGAGAAAACATGAATATTTTACTTTCATGGGGGAAGCTTACACAACAATTTGCTGTGTATTTGAGACAAACCCATGTAGCCACAATATCCAACTTAAAATACTTGAAAAATATTCATTATAAATACTATTTTAAATGATGATTTGCTAATTTTATGCCAGAAAAATCCTTAAAAAAAAGTATTTTCATAATGTGAGAGCAGAGAATGCTCTGGATATTTAATGATTTTGAAGTACAGTTTCAAAAAAAGCACTTACATTAGATATTAACTTTTCATAAAACCTCTAGTGGCCACTATCCACTTGTTTAGGAAAACTTCTGTGATCATTGATTTTAATTCTGCATCATAAAACTAAAATCTTTACTAGTAGTTGAAGACAAGTGTTCTAATCTCAAATTTGCTGCTCATTAACAGCACAGCACTGGGCACATTATTTTAGTAGTCTGTTGTTAAAGCCAAATGAAATTATTAAGGAATGAACTTTACACACAAAGGTAACCAGCTGATTTTACCAATACTTGAGATATTACTGTTTGAGAATAGGCATACAAAATTTGAAAACTACCATAGACGATTAATTCAAAGCCAACAAGAAGTAAGGTTTAATTATAGAAATAACTATCATACACAGAAATAGAACACAGTCACCCAAATTCACTTTGAGTAGCTCTTCATGGTATATATCCAGATACATCGTTTCATGTAATTACACAAACAACTTTCTCAAAAATCTGACTCACTCAATTTCTAAAATGGAAAAAAAGGATCATCAAAAGAGATTAACTTTCTTGCCTGATTTAAACCAAAATCTTCTGGTCTTCAGTGAAGATTCCTAGCAACCTTTGATTTATGTTTCTTATTAATGTAGATGAAGTGTTTCAATATACAGTATTTTTCAGATGTATTTTTATAAGATATTTATTTACTTCTGGGCGAATATGATACTCAAATTTAAAGAGAGAACACATTTTATTTCTCATTAATTCTGTATAATAGTGCCTCCATTATCTTAGACCTATATTTTCCTTACCTCATCAGCAAAGCATTAGAGTCATTTTATAAATACAACACTTTCAAAGAAAGAGGACATCTCTTTTAAAAATGCAGGGCATTCCTTTGTTCTCCTTGACCTGGTACCTTGGCCTTTCTGCTACATTTTCACTAACCATAAACCTTGCATTCTTCCATAACTCATCAGTCTGAATTTCTCTTTAACTAGTTCCTCTAACGAACTTCTTCCTCTAACTCTTTCATTAGATCTCCTTCATTCTTAGCCTCTGCTCTATGCCCTCTATAACTCTATCTTTTAAATAGCTACAACTATGTTTGCTGAAGACTCCCAAATTTGGGTTAAAAATTCCGGGTTACCCTTAGCTTCCCATCCCCCATTCTCCAAATGACTATTAAACATTTGCACTTCAGCAGTGTGCAACAAAAGAGAATACAAACGTGAAGCAGCAGGGAAGACCGCAGGGAAGAAAGCCTACTTCAAGCTGTATAGCAACAGATCGCACGAAGGTGGGAAGTGCACTAGTTCTGGACTAAAGACAGATCATCTACAAAGAGCCGTTAGTGCAAGAAGAAAGCAAGATGTTCACTCAATTCACTGAACAGAACAATATGAAGAGAATCGATTTAGAAAAAAACAGTTTGACAGAAAAATAAAGAGTTGAGTTGAAGCTAAGAAGTCATGAAAGCCTGGACAAAACTTTGGACAATTCTATAGAAAATGGGAGGCTACAAAAGGTTTTTCCATGGGGGACTTTATATAGTTTAAGTTAGTTTAATCTGACGTAGAAAGGACTGGATGAAGAGACTCTAGACTAAGAACTATTTGAAGTACTAAGCACCTGAACTAGATGCCAACAATGGGAATTTAAACAATAAAATAATGTAAAAGAACATTATTAGTCAATGAAATTACAGTGGGAAATGTAGGAATGAAAAAAGTTATTACCAAACAAGAAATATAGTAGGAATAAAAATTTCCTTATCTTTCAAAACTGCAAAAGAACTATTATTACATATATTTCCATTTGCTTTTTCTCTTTCTCTTGCATCATTTTTTTTTTTTTTCATTTTTATTGGGACAGAAATTTATTACTATTTTGGAAGAAACAAAATCAATATAAATAAATTTTAGCATTTTATTCAGTATGCCAAATTAATGAAATTAAAACAACCATACCTTAATATCGTAAACTTCGAACATTTACAAAACTCCCCAAAATATGAATGGGTTTTTACACATAGATGGCACAGTTTATTAAAACTTTCCATAGTGAATAATACATTCAACCACAGGCTTGCTGTTTTGATAAACTTTAGTCATATTTTTCCATGTTTTCTGATTATACTCGAGGAGATATTAAAGTAAGAGGAAAGAAGAAGAAACTTTTCACCCAGAATTTTCATCTTACAGTTATATGTTATATGCCACTTTCTCGTCTTATTAAGCACTGTTTTCATTTGAGGAGGAGTAGCATGTGCGTGTGTTTGTGTGTTTGAGTGTGTGCATTCCTTTATTATGCATGGATTTCACCTGAAAAATCAATGTTCCTCACAACCAAAATATCCTCACAGATTTGGGTACTTTCATAATATATATTTTTTAATTCTGTTATTTAACAAATACCAAAATACACACCTACAATATCAAATTATGATAGTTACAGCATGTCAAAAAGTCTTAATATCATCAACTAGTAATGTTAGTAATATTGAAGTTTTCCTGGAAGCAGAGGTGACTTGGCAAAGAATTTCTTGAAGAAACATGTGTTCTTAAATGAGAAATTGTTATGAATCCAAAAAATAATTACTGATGAAATACTTACCACACTCAAATTGACAGGAGTGTTTGGTTTTGGTACTTGGTGGTTATAGAGTGATTTGAGAGTTTCATTCAAATCATTCTCCTAGAGCAAAAGAAAAAGTATATTTTATAAACGAAAAATAAACCAAGCAAATACAATTAAAATTACTTCATAAAATCACCCACTGTGCCTTCTCATATTAGACACATATTATCTAACTGCTTTCTACAGAAATATTTCAAAATACTAAAATTGAAATATTTAAATCTAATAGATATGGAAAACACATTTAAGTCTCTTTATCATAAAAAATAGCAATATTTTTTATTTAGTATAAATACATATTTGGAAAAACTTAGCAATTACAAAATATGTTAATACTATAAAAGAAAATTATTTAATTTCTCATGTTGACTTTGTATCCTGCAACTTTACTGAAATGGTTTATCGGCTCTAAAGAATTTTGTGGTAGAACCTTTAGGTATTTCTGTATATAGGATCATGTCATCTGCAAAGAGGGACAGTTTGACTTCATCTTTTCCAATCTGGATGCCTTTGTTTCTTTCTCTTGCTTGATGGCTCTGGCTAGTACTTCTAATACTATGTTGAACAGGAGTGGTGAGAGTGGGCATTCTTGTCTTGTTTCTCTTCTTATGGAAAAAGCTTTCAGCTTTTCCCCATTCAGAATGACATTAGCCATGGTTTGTCATATACAATTTTTATTGTGATTTTCGTTGTATACCTAGTTTGCTGAGAGTCTTTATCATGAAGGGATGTTAAACTTTGTCAAATGCTTTTTCTACATCTGTTAAGATAATCATATGGTTTTGTCCTTGAGTTTGTTGATGTGATGTATCACATTTATTGACTTGCATATGTTGAACCATCCTTGCATTTCTGGGATGAATCCCACTTGATCATAGTGTATAATTTTCTCCAATGTATTGCTGTATTCTGATTGCTAATATTTTGTTGAGCATTTTTGTGACTATGTTCATCAGAGATATTGGTCTGTAGTTTTATTTTTGTGTTTATCTCTGTCCAGTTCTGGTATCGGTGTAATGCTGGCCTCATAGAATAAGTCTGGTAGAACGGTCTTTTCAACTTTTGGGAATAAATTCCTTTTAAAGGTTTGGTAGAATTCAGCAGTAAACCCATCTGGTCCTGGGTTTTTCTTTGTTGGGAGACTACTGATAACTGCTTCAATCTTATTGCTTGTTATTGGTCTATTTAGGTCTTCTATTTCTTCTTGGTTCACTCTTGGTAGTTTGTATGTGTCCAGACACTTATCCACTTCCTCCAGGTTCTCAAATTTGCTGGCATACAGTTGTATAACTGCTTCAATCTTATTGCTTGTTATTGGTCTATTTAGGTCTTCTATTTCTTCTTGGTTGACTCTTGGTAGTTTGTATGTGTCCAGACACTTATCCACTTCCTCCAGGTTCTCAAATTTGCTGGCATACAGTTGATTATAATAGCTTCTATTGATTCTTTGTATTTCTGTAGTATTGGCTGTAATGTCTCTTCTTTCATTTCTGTTTTTTTTATTTGGGTCATCCTCTTTTTTTACTTAGACTAGTTAATAGTTTGTTTATTTTGTTTATATTCTCAAAAAAACAACGTTTGGTTTCATTGATCTTTTGTATCATTTTGGAGGTCTCCATTTCATTTAGTTCTGCCCTGATCTTAATGATTTCTTTCTGTCTACCAATCTGGGGATTGGATTTGTTGTTTTTTTTAGTTCTTTGAGGTTTAGCACTGGGTTGTTTATTTGAAATCTTTCCAATTGGTCTAAAGCATAGTTTAAATCCTATTTGTCTGTGTTGATTTGTTGCCTAGGTGATCTGTCCAGTGCTGAGAGAGGGGTGTTCAGATCCCCTACTATTACCATATCAGGGTCTATTTCTTTCTTTAGATCTAACAGTGTTTGTTTTATATATCTGGATTCTCCGATGTTGAGTGCACCTATATTTATGATTGCTATGTCTTCTTGCTGGACAGATCCTTTTATGTTACACAGTGACCTTCTCCATCCCTTTTTATGGTTTTTGGTTTAAAATTTACTTTATCTGATATAAGAATAGCTACTCCTGCTTATTTTTGGTTTCCATTTATATATCTTTCTTTCCCTTTACTGTTAGTCTGTGTGTGTCTCTGCAGATGAGGTGGGTCTCTTGAAAAAAAGCATATAACTGGGTTTAGCTTTTTAATACAGTCAGTCAGTCTGTCTTTTGTGTGAGGAGTTACTCCATTTACATTTAGGGATGTTACTGAAAGGTACTGTCTTACGTCGGGTGTTTTAAATATCTTTTGTTCCTTTCTTCCTTTTTATTGTTTATGTTTGATGTTGTTGGTTTTTTGAGGTAAGATTTAGCTTCTTTCTCTTGCTTCTTTACATTTTTGTTCTACCATGAGGTTTTGTTCTTTCTTGTGTATTCATGGTAGTGAGTACAGTCTTTTATACTGCAGGTACAGGACTCCCTTGAGGATTTCTTGAAGGGTTGTTGGTGTGGTGGTGAACTCCTGCAGTTTTTGTTTGTCTGGGAAATACACTGTTTCTCCCTCATTTCTGAAGGACAGCCTTGCTGGGTATAGTATTGCTGGCTGGCAGTTTTTTCTTTTAGTATTCTGAATATATCAACCCATTTTCTTCTGGCCTGAGTTTCTATCGAGAAGTCTGCTGTTTGTCTGATGGGGACTCCCTTATATGAGACTAGATGCTTTTCTCTTGTTGCTTTTAGGATTCTCTCTCTGTCTTTGAGCTTTGCCAGTTTGACTATAATGTGTCTTAGAGAGGATCTTTTTCGATTGAAACTGTTTGGGGATCTTTGAGCCTCCTGGATCTGTAGGTCCATGTTTCTCCCTGTACCTGGGAAGTTTTTTGTTATTATTTTGTTGAATAGGTTTGCAATGCATTTTCCTTTCTACACCCCTTCTGGAATACCCATGATTTGCATGTTTGTGTGCTTAAGTAGTCTGCTAGCCCTCTTAGATTTTCTTCATTTTCTCGAATTCTTTTTTCCTTTTTTTGTCCACTTGGGTTATTTTTAAAAGACTATCTTCAAGATCAGAAATTCTTTCTTCTGCTTGCTCTGACCTGATGATTAAGTTCATGGTTCTGTTTTTTATTTCACTGAAGGAATCCTTCAGTTCCAGGAGTTCTGCTATATTCTTTTCAAAGGTATTAATCTATTTGTAAATTCTCTTCTTCATATTCTGGATATTTTTTCTTATTTCATTATGTTGTCTGAGTCTTTTCCTATCTCATCGAGTTTCCTTAAGATGGTTGCTCGGGATTCCTTTCCAGTCATTTCCAGGGTTTCATGCTTTGTGGAGTCTGGTACTTGAGAATTACTAGATTCCTTTAGTGGTGTCATGTTTTCTTGAGTTTTTGTATTTCCAGTATCTCTTCATTGATGTCTGTTCATCTGGTAGAGCAGTTGCTTCTTCTAGTACTCTGGAGTGGGCTTGGAGGAGACAGACTTCCTCTTCCTTTTCCAGCCTCTGGTTCTGACTGCTCTTATGTCAACAAAGTCTAGTGCATGGGGGGCCATCTCCACAGTGGCTGTGGCTGTGGCAGCTACTGTGGTGGCAAGTCACCCTTGCTGTTCCAGTGGTTGTGGGGGACCACCCATGCAGAAGTGGTGTTTTGGGCATGCTCCTGCCTTCTGCCAGGCAGTGGGGGCTGCCTGCAGCTCCTGACTAGGACCTCAGGTATGCTCAAAGGGAATTATCTAAATCATTAAATCTAAGAACAACAGCAGGACTGAATAAAAATAGCAATAAAACTTTTTGTTGAATTACAGAGTGCTCTCATTTTCCATTTTCATTTTATTCATTTTTTCCATTTTCCTAATTTTGAAGGAATATATACACTTTAAGTAAGATTAATGTACTAAGTTGCAACATTGAGGTTATTCTAAATAGTACTTTTCTACATAGCTACTGGTCACTATTTGACCCATAATTCATGAGACTAAATAAATTATACAACAAATCTATTTCATAGGATTTATATAATAATAATGTACCTTAAGTGCACTCTCACTTTTTCTGAATCACACATACTAAGCCAGTAATAAATATACAAATGTAGATTTCTAAAAACACAATTATTTTTATTCTCTCTCTCTCTCTCTCTCTTATTTTTTTTTTTGCTGGGGAGAATAAACAAAAGGAAAAGGCAACCAAAAAAACCCCACAATTTCAAGAGTGAGGGACTATCAAATGAGAATTTAAACAGATAACTGGAGAATGAAAAGTATACCCTAAATGTGAAAATTAGAAAACAACAGTAATCAATTATAAAGAATTAAAAAACATATTTTCAGCAACATATATGGACTTAGAGAAAATTATATTAAGTGAAATAAGCCAGGCACAGAAAGAGAAATACCACATGTTCTCACTTATTTGTGGGGGGCTAAAAATAAATAAATAAATAAATATACAAACAAATGGGGTGGAGGAAGAGGACACAACAATCAACAATTCCTTGAAGTTGTTAAGACAAGCGAACAGATAATGATGTTGATGGGGGGGAGGAGAAGAGGGACGGGGGAAGGAGGAATTGGTAAAGAGACATGAAAATCAACTACATTGTGTATGATAAAACAAAATAAGAAATAAATAATGATAAAACACAAGCCCAGTCACCTTTTGTTTTAGCCTAGGCTAGAAATTAGGAGTTTGAACTAATCAAATGCTACTGTAGTAAGCTCTCCAGAAAGAAAAACATCACAGGTTTTGAATGCATATCAAGGTTTTTTCTTTTCTATTTCCCGAGAAGAGAAAATCTTCTGAAAATCTTCAGCAGGGTGAGAGCAGGTTCTCATTAAAGAAATGCAATAAATTTATAATGAAGACACAGAAAAAAATCAATCAATAAATAAATAACACATTTTATTTTCATTAAATTGCATCAAATAGCACAGCTAACATCTTAATAAATTAGCCCTTGTTAAAAACATCAAAGAATAATTAAGGGGAAAAATTTACAAATTATCGTAACAGGGAAGTTTTTTTTTTTTTTTCTTTTTCTTCCCTTTTTTTGTCTTTTTTCGTGACCGGTAACGGGATCGCAACCCTCAGTGTCGCACCCGTACCGGGACCAGCAACGGGATTACAACCCTCGGTGTCGCACCCGCACTGCGCTCAACCAGTGAGTGGATCGGTCTCTATATGGGATCCGAACCCTCGGCGGGAGCGCCGCCACACTCC